GCAGAAAACAAAACAAGGAAATGGAAACAAAAATTAGCTTTAGAGCTACGTAAGTACTACCCAACCCCGTAAAATAATCAAGTTTGGCGAAAATAGATTTTCATATAATACTATATAAAAATAACACACTCCACCAAAATTCTTTTCTCTTTGATTTTTCTCAAAATCACTTCTTTACTAAAATCCACAACTTTTCTTCAAAAATAATCCGTATTATAGTAACTCTTCTCTTTGAACTTCTCAAAATAAAATCTTCTTCTCTAACTTCCTAGTAATTTAGAAGGGCGGTGCTCAACCTTTCGACTGAGCCCGGTGGACCGTGGTTACGGACGGCCACCACGAACAAGTGCCGGTACCACAACTGCTCTTGCGGAAACGAAACGACTACCTTAAGTGTGCACACCCCCTAAAAGGGATTCCAAGCCCTCCGAGTAGTAAGTCGTCACGAGTAATCGGGACTCAGTCTACCAACTACCCCACCTTTAAAATTCTTGAATGATTAGGGACTACTACTACTATAACTTCTTCTTAAAAGGGATCATAGATCCAAATGTCACTTCAAACTCAAACTGTACTTCTTAGTAGTAGCAGTCTTAATCACCCTCCACATTTATCCGGATGTGGAAAACCGACACCATGGATTTCTCCCGTGTGCTCACTTCTTATGAAAACGTAAATTTTATCTTGACTTTAGATATACTTCCAAAAAAATATTTCTCAATCTCTCTAAATAGTCTCAAAGGTATTTAAAAATATTTAGTACCCCATATCTCAACTTTCTCAAATAATATAATTTAATGTTACTTCAAATAATACATATTCAAAATTCACACTTTAATCACATAATAACATATAATACGAGGAAACCATTTTGGATCGGCAGAGAAACTTACCTTAAATCAGATGCTCCTAGTTCCTCTCCTCTATTCTTGTCTCAAAATAATCACCTTTTTAATTAAGACGATATGATCAGTCACTTATCCTATTTGTAATAATATGCCCGATTTTCCCCTCTTATTTTAGTATTCGAACATAGGTTATTGTTAATTAATCACTTTTATTAACCTTACTTTATTTCGTAATTTAACTTCTCACCTTATCTACTCATTTCTTTTATTAATTCGGTACTTTAGTTTAATCTAATCCAATATCCGAATTAATTTACACTTAAAAATGTCTGAATTATTTTCATAAAATTTTAGTACTAAAACAGCCATTAAATTAATCTTCTCTTGTAAAAGATCCGAATTATAATCGTTAGATTTTCAAAATACTTATTTGTATTTTATTACAAATATATCCGAATAATATTACTCAGTAATCAATTTTAGAAACAACCAAAAATTATAAATTTAACAGTTCTAAAATAGTCATATATCTTAAGATAATGTTTAAATCGTGTATTATTAGTAACAACTTAATTGATCCATGATTTTAAGTTATGTAGTGATCTCAACTAAGAAGTGACAATTTCATTAAAGGTAACTATTATCAATCTAGCCATTCCAAATCTTAATTGCTATATCAAATCTTCATTAACGATTTCACAGGTTGTAATCACAATTTTTTAATATTATTATTATTATTGTTGAGGTTTATTCCTTCAACCCTCGGGTCCAACACGTAAGCCCAACGATTTCGAGTGGAGTGTGTATGAATATCTAGCCCAACTAGCAAGTGATATGGATCAAGGAGAACGGTAAGCAGCAAGTAAGTGATTAGGTATTATTATCTCTTAATAACTCCCTAATACAGTACTTTTCACTAAGGCTCGTCGGCCGATCGTCTTACGAGGCAGTAGAAGTGCTGCGAGTAAGAATGCTATAGCTAGAGTGCTAAGAATAGAAAGTTGACAACCCTTTACAATGAAATAAATGCTTCTATTTATACCCACCAATGGGCAGGTGGCTATACTGATGTGGCAGCCCGTGGACCGCTGGAGTCCCAACCACCAAATCTTCAGCATTAAATGCACTTCCCGCCAGAATCTAGGTTTCCCGCCTAATTAGTGGGGACGTTCGTCCGTCCGGGGGGTGAGCTGCTCCAGGTGGCCTCCAGTTGACCTGGCATTTTCTTCAGTTCTGTCCTCACCTTTGCCTTTGGTCAGTCGTACAGGAGTGCCGACTGTGCAACAGTCTTGTGGAGGGAGATATTGTCCAGGCTGTTGTAGAGGTCTTAGAGGAGATCGCTGGCCGCATATGATGTCCAGATCGCTGCTCGCCGGAGATGAGTTCCCCGGCTGTTGCGCGGCAGAGAAGCAACCAGGTTGTTCGCCAGCAAAGTCCGCCGGTTGCTGATCGGCGGAGAAGTTCTCACGTCGCTGCTCAATCAAAGAATTATGTTGCGGCTCCTTGGAGATTTCCACATTATTAGTGGGGTCCATTGATGAGAAGTTTCCAGGCTGATGTCCAAATGATAGCCTGGTAGGCTGTGATGGCATTCCACTTTGGTCCACAACCTTTTGATATGCACGGTCCACAATTGAACAAAAATCCAACCCTTCATGTTCAATTTTCTTAAATGGAAATTCATTTTCAAAGAAGGTAACATCACGTGAACTGTAAATATCATGTTTTTGCAAATCAAAAACTCTATAAGCTTTCTGGCCATAGGGATACCCAAGAAAAATACAAGGACTCCCCCTTTCGCTGAATTTATCTTTATGTTTGTTGTTGTGTGCATATATCAAACAACCAAAAACACGTAAATGTTCATAATTGGGCTCTTTCCCAAACAACATTTCATAAGGACTTTTATTTAAAATGACTTGTGACGGTAGCCGATTGATGATATAAACAGCGGTGAGAATGCATTCTCCCCAAAAATCAATGGGTAACCCGGACTGAAAACGAAGGGCCCTTGCAACTTCTAAAATATGTCTGTGTTTACGCTCTACAACCCCATTTTGTTGAGGAGTATCTGTGCACGACGTTTCCAAAATAATTCCTTGACGTTTATAATATTCAGATAAAAGATTGGTTTGAAACTCCATTCCATTATCTGAACGTATGCATTTAACTCGCTTGTCAAATTGATTTTCTATCATGTTGCAAAATTGTATCAATTTTTGACCAACTTCAGATTTATTTTTCATGAGATAGACCCAAACACCTCGGGTAAAATCATCGACAATAGACAAAAAATATCGTGCTCTTGATGTAGAATCACATCTATAACCTCCCCATATATCACAGTGTATTAATTCAAAACACCAAGTGGTCTTACTTGTACTTTTGGGGAAGGAGAGACGAGTTTGTTTGGCTCTCAAACAGGGATCGCAAAAATTACTGTTGTTTCGGAAACCCTTAAGAAATGTGATGTATTGTAATTTTCCATCTGAAGCATGTCCCAAACGTTGATGCCATAAATCGGTATTAAGAACAGCCGACATCGCCGCTCCTTTACCTTCTGGTGATTCCAGGTAATACAACCCATTACAGAATCTTCCCATACCAATTAGCTTCCTTGAAGCTAAGTCTTGTAATATACAAAAGTTGGAGAAAAATGTGAGTGTACAATTAAGATCGTTAGTGAGACGACTAGCAGAGAGCAAATTGCATTTAAACTGTGGAACATATAAAACCCGCCGAAGATAGAATCCATTGGATAAATATAGACTACCAACAGCAGAAACGGGAATTGAATCGCCATTAGGGATTCTGACAGCTGGTTCAGGTGGATGAGCAAAAATGTTGAACATATCATTATCATCACAAGTGATATGTTCACTTGCTCCGGAATCAATTATCCAACTACGAGAGTGAAGTGGCATTTTTGCCATTTCGGTGGAAGGAGATAAGAGATATGAAATCTCTAAAGAGGACCAAAATTTTTATTTCCAGGTTTTGGCTCTGATACCATGATAAAATCTAAATGTATGATATACTAGTATATTATTAAGAGGGAAGCTTAAACAATATCATACGAAGAGGATGGCTTAGAAGCCGTAAGTTTATTGCTGCTAGTTGATGTCTATTAATACATAGTGCAATATGTGATAGGAGGGAATAAAATAATAATAATAGTGCATGGACATGTACTCATATGTACTTACTTAGAGATAGTACATAAGTAGTACAACTAATAATAATATTAATATTTAAATAATCTCAATAATATATGTACAGTACAGCAGGGTAGCTTGTTATTATCTTCGAACAGATCAAGTTTCCTGTTGGCATGGTACTCCAGTTTTCATACGTTGATTATCCACTTATCCACAAGTGTGAAAGTACTCCACCCATTTTAGTAAGCAAACGTGGGGAAGTATACTTCGCATGTGGATGTACTTGTATTACGTACTACATATATGGGTTTGCCCATGTGAATTGGTCTTACAGGCATGTGTGTGTGCCGGTCATCATGCTTCTATATTATTAAGTGTACTATGCTTAAATTATCATACGGAGTACTTGTTGTTCGTCCGGTAGGTTCATATGCATGTATCGTACGTACACCTTTGTTTTGTTACCATATATTATTATCATGCATCTAGGTTAGGTTTGAAAAGTCAACTCAGTGGTGTTTAGTGTATTCTCACCCATATTATAAATTTTTGAATTAAAATTGTTAAAATGTCACAATACTATTTTTACTATATGTATAATTATCACCTGTTACAAAACGTCACTTTTAACACTTTAATTAATATTTATTTTGATTTGTTTTGTCAAATACTGTACATTTTATCTGACTAATAAAATTATTTATTTTATTTTAAATTTTCGGGGTATCATAGTTGATCTCTACGGGATATGTGAAGTCTGGAGAACAACTTGGAGATTTGTTCACTAAAGCACTAAATGGGATCCGAATTGGTTATTTATGTAACAAGTTGGGCATGTTAAATATTTATGCTCCAACTTGAGGGGGAGTATGAAAGTATATAGAATATACCTTAGAATATTAGAATATACTTCAGAATATTCTAGGAATATACTTTTTTTTACTGATCTAGGAATATTCTTTAGGATATTATTCTAGAATATTCTAGGAATATAGTTTAGGATATTATTATTGTATAGAATCTTGTATAGGAATATTTTATTTGAAATGTATATTTATAGGGACTTACACAACTAATGAAATACACAGAAAATCCTTTCCTCTCAAATATTGTTTCTTACTCCGTAGTTTATATGCTATATTTCAACAAAGTCAATCCAAAGCTCTCTGATTAGCACTCACAAGAACATTCGATCAATGATGGTGGAGAAATATCATCTTGCCAAGCGACACTCCGCCACTTGAAATAAAAGAAGAGAACTATACATATGCTGATAAACATATATATATAACTAAAAATACTGATTAAACAAAACTATGTTCATTATTAGAGCGAAACAAGAATAAAAGAAGGGAAGAAAAAAGAGGAGACAAATAGGATCGATTTCCCCCAATCCCCCATTGCAGCTCCTCTTGACCTTGCTCTTGTTCTTGTGATGTTTTAAAACTGTTTTCTGCTTTTATAAATGTCACAATTGTCAAATACGAAGTATCAATTATCCAATTATTGTTTAAATCCATGGTCGATATTAATGTACTTGATCATTCCCTTATACTAGACGCGATTGGAGTTGTATAGATCTGAGGAGAAATTGTATTATCAGCCAACACCTTAGTACAAACCTTACCCACAAAGTTAGAAAGGCAAATGGGCCTAAAATCTCCAAAAGTAGAAGGATTGCTAATTTTAGGTATTAGCACAATCAAACTACTAGAGACCTCTTTAGGAATATTAATGCCCGGGAAAAATTCTTGCACAGCTTTCACCAAATCAGCCCCAACAATATGTCAACAGTTTTTAAAGAACTTCCCATTAAATCCATCAGGTCCCGGTGCCCCATTTTGATTACGATTCCAAACAGCCTATTTAACCTCTTGCTCTTGTGGTAATTCCATTAAATGATAGTTAAGCTCCTCTGTAACCAAGTTTGGAATAAATTGTAGAACATCCTCAGAGTCAGTTTCAGGGGCAACAGAATAGAGCTTGGAATAAAAGTCAATAGCAGCTTTCCCAATGTCAGGTAAAGAAGATACTACCATACCGGTTTCATTTGGAATGGCATTAATACTCTGCCTCCTATGTCCTACTTTCACAAAAGAATGAAAGTATTTTGTATTAGCATCACCTTCTTTAAGCCATCTAACTTGGGCCTTTTGTTTCCAATATTTTCTTTCCAGGTTGAGTTTAGAGATAAGAGAGCTCTGAGGTGGTTCCAGTGTTCTCTGTTATTGGCACTCCATGAAGCTTTTCTCAACCTGCATAACTTGATCTTCACACTTTCTAATCTCCTCAAATATATTCCCAAATGTTTCTTTATTCCATAGTCTCAAGTCATTTTGAAGGCATTGCAGTTTGTACACCGAGCCTCTCATCCCTCCTCCACTTGGGCTTTTACTCCAGCTTTTTTGCACAGTATCCAGAAAACTAAGATGTTTTAGCCACATATTATGGAACTTGAAGGATCTAGGGCCTTTAGTTTCCTCAGTAGAGCATCTGATAAGAATGGGAGTATGATCCGATGGGGTTTTGTCCAAAATATCTATCTGAATTCTCTTGAATAAATCATTCCATCTGCTATTGATCAAATACCTGTCCAGCCTCCTCCATACCCATCCATTTGACCTAACCCCAGCCCAAGTGAAGGTAGGGCCAGAATAATTAGGTTCAATAAGATCACAAGCTGCCACACAGTTAGAAAACTCCATCATACTATTAAGATGAGGCATTGATCTCCCCTGATGTTCATTATGAGCAGCTATAGCATTGAAATCTCCACCTATAAGCCAGGGATCATGCATATTCCTGGACAGGGCCACCAGAGATTCCCACAAGTCTCTTCTAGCAATATAGTTGTGTTTTCAATATATTACTGTAAACCAGCCTTCCACATTCCCTCTCTTAAATCTCAAATGAGTAAATTGGCCATGAAAAGAGACATCGGAAATATCCACCTCATTGGGATCCCAGAAAACCCAGATTTTATTTAGATTAGAAGATAAAACTCTAGAAAAACCAAAAGCATGCTTGAAAGAATCTGCTTTAGAGTAATCGATAATTGGTTCAATAATAGCTAGAATTTGAATCTGCCATTGCTTTGTTAGAGAAACTAACCTAGCTGTGGCAGATTCAACTCCCCTTACATTCCAGAATAAACAATTCATAAGGCAGGGTTAGGGAAATTTTGTGAAGCCAGCTTAGTGTCCATTTGCACAGAAACTGACAAAACTGATCCTTCTTTCCTTTTTGCAGCATTTCTAGAAACTCTGGGAGGTGCAAAGGTATTCTTCCTTTTGTTCCTTTTGCTGACTACTTCTATGAATTCCTCAGGAACTGTCTCATTCCCAATTTGCACACCCTGAACCTGTTCAGCAGTTGCCTGGCAAGACTGATCCAGAGCCTGAACCTCCTCAGTCACTGCCTGAGTCACAAGTTCCTCAGCATGGGCCTCCGTATCAGTTGCCTGACAAGGTAAAATGGGATCAGTCAGATCCTTTTCCTCAGAGCTGCCTGCCCAGATTGATCTAGAGTGAGATCCTCAATTTCCAGTTCAAGCCGCTTGGCCATTGCATCCACTTTGGTAGTAATGGCATCCCATCCAACTTCCCAATCACCAATTACAATAGGCCTGCTATCTTCCTTGTCAGACGAGTACTCCTTAGAAGCTAATATAGGATCAAATTCAAGGGCCTTTTGCATCTTCTTAATCTGCAAATCATCACTATTACTAACAATATTTTTAATGTGCAGAATCCCCGAGACCTGCTTCTGCAAGAGATGTTTTCAGCTTGCCATGTCAATTCTATCTTTGGAAGAAGCATCCCCTTCCAATTGACTCGTACGACCTTCAGTACTAGTAACCGCCTGCTGCCTTGCAACTGGGGGTATCTCGTGAAAGACTTCCTCAGTATCAGTGTCATCGTCACACTGAACTGCCTCCATAGTTGAAGATGATGGCTAGTTCAATACCATAAGTTCTTTACATTGATTAGCAGTCTGTGCAGCCATAGTAGATGTAGAATGTGTAATAATTGCTTTTCCTTTCTCATGTCGTGTGTATCTAGTCTGTTTAGGCTGCTCATCCTTTTTTTCTCCACCCATTTGTCTTTCAATACATGCACTCGAGTAGGACGCTCATCCTTTCCAACTTGAACTACTGGGATTTCGTTTAGGGCATTTGGAGTGAGAATGCCCTAAATGCAACCAGAACGAGCAGTATTCTGGCACGTACTCATAAATGATCGGCTTAGCAAAGCCAATTTTACCACAATTAATCCACACCTTCCGTGGTAACTCCTGGGTGACATCCAGCTCAATGCAAACCCGGGCCAGTGACGGCTGGGACAGATTTGTCACTGGGACAGATTAGCTGTAGCACTATCAATCCTCAATGGCTCACCAATATGAGCTGCAATGTCAAACAGTGCTCTCCTATCTTGGAGATGTAGAGGTAACCCTTCCATAGAAATCCAAACAGGAACCACCGGAGACTCCACATTGGGGCGAAACTCCGGGGTCCATCTGGTCACGCGCATCTCATAACCTCTAATGTTCCAATTCTGCCGATTCCAACAGCGAAAGTAGTCATCATCAGAATCAAACCTTATAACAATGTGCTTTTTTTTTCAGGACGCCCAAATGAAAAGAACCCTTAAAACCTATAGCCTCCAAAGCTTTACGAATGAAATCCAAGCTCGGTCTACCCCTGTAGAAATAGCTGATCAATGATCTTCTGTGCCGCTCAGCCAGGATACTGACATCACTATCCGGGAAAGTGACGGCAGGTAATCCTTTGAAACGTGATGGGACTTTAGCCGAAATAGAACCAGAAGATGTATTAGCAACAACATCAACGAATGGTTTCCCCGACCAAGCCTTGATCGGAGGTGGAGGCGGCAACTCCGCCGGAGCCGTCATTCACACGCAAACCCTCTATCACAAATCTTCTCGATCCAAACTGTCAGTTCTTAGAGGCGGCATTAACCCTAAAAAAACCTACCTATATTTAACAAAGTTTAATACCATTCAATTTTACGCTATTCACATTTTTAAATTTGATTATGTTTTACTCCCTCCGTAACTTTAAAATCTTCTCATTTCAAAAGTAGATAGATTAAGAATAGTGAAAGAGAATATGAATTATTGAGGGTATGATGGGAAGATAGTGGAATAATGTGATGGAATGTATGATAAATTCAAAAAAGTAGTTGTAATAGTGTATTATTTTCAGAATTATTGAGGGTATAATGAGAAGATTTAGAAATGAGAAGATTTTTATGTTACGGACGAAAAAGGAAAGTGGGAAGATTTTTTTGTTACGGAGGGAGTATTTATTAATGTATTAATAATAATTTTTGAAAAATATTATTAAATTTGTCTCATTGTCAGTTTTCAAAATCTTATTTTTTTACAAATAGGCAATTATATATATATATTAATGATCAAAGATATACATCGGTAAATGTCAAAAATTGACGGTATTTAAGAACAAAGCAAATACTTGGTATGTAGTACTCCCTCCCTCCCACTAACGATGAGAAAAGAGAAAGTGACACGCAAACCAATAAAAAGGGTTTGTGTGGTTGATATAGAATTGATAAAGTAAAAAATTGAAATAAGAATGATATAGAGGACGAGTACCATCAAATATGAGACAATCACAGTGAGATGGACCCAAAAAATAAATAGGATTATATTAGCGAAATGAAGGGAGTATATAAGAAAGAAATATCCCACGGGTACCATAAAGTAAGAAATGCATACTATTATTTAATCAAACCCGTGTTATTAATACTCATCAATATTTACATATGATCAAACATTATTAAATCTATTAGAAAATTGTTATTTGAAGAATGAGGTATTAATGTTTGGCTTAAACAAATTTTCCATTTCCATGTTCAACTTTCTAACTCTGAAATTTATATCGATTTAAAGAAAGCATTTAGGAAATAAAAACAGATCTTGCTTTTACATGAGGGGCTAAGAAATATTTTCTAAATTCCCATTGAAAACATCTTATCCCAACCCCAATATTTTATCTCAAATTCCAGATTCCAAACTACTCATCAATGTTAATAAATTTTTATTTTGTGAAATAAGTTTACCTATATTTTATATTAATCTCGTGCATCGCACGGGTACTATACTAGTACTCATTAAAATTAGACTATTACTCATTAACAATACACTAATACTCATTTACAGAAACCGCGATTTTCGCATTAATTACAAAAATGCCACCGAATTATTTTGTTATTTTTCCCTTGCACCTGTTACTGGGCCGGCTATACGGTGCTCACAGTACAGCCGGTTGTATAATATACGTACTCCACCACAACCATCAGAGCTGAAAGTATCACCGCCGCTGGCAGTATCACTGCCGCTGCCATCACTGTCGGCACACATCTACCGGACACATCTCCAGTAACTCCAGCCTTGTCCAGAGACTATGTTGGCCGACGTTCAGTGACTCATATGTTGCTTAGTGACTCGGCAATGTTCAGTGACAATTTTCGTTAACATTCAATGAAACCTGTCGCTCAATTCCAGTGACCAGTGACTGTCGCCGTAGTGACTGCCGTCGGGCACAGTGACTATCCCGCATTGACTGTCCAGCCCCAACCCCCTTCTCCAGTGTTGCACAGTTAATGATCCAGCCCCAACCTCCCTACCCCTTGTTGGGAATGCCGGGGAGGAAGAATATTGTGTTGCGTATTAATCTAACTATAAACACTTAGTAAATGCATATACATACATTCGTACGTAGTACATAAAGTAATAAACACATGGCTTTCTTTTTTTTGGTGTGCCGCATCTATTGCAGCCCATCACCGGTTTTTCATTAAATAAGCAAAAGGAAAAACTGCCAAAGCTACAAAATAGGATAAAACTAAGTGTTGCACTCTTCCATTAAAGCACTACCTATTTTCCCCATCATCCGCCCAACTTCTTTTGCTCTTTCTCACAAGCAATCCCACTAGCTAAATTAAACATGCATGCAACTAACTAATTGATCAACCCATGCAAATTAGACTAACACTAATGCAACGACACATATGCACATCAATGTCGTCGTCCGCATCGCTCCTATCCTCCATTGTTTTGAGCCTTCCCACAAGCTCCTCCATGGACATGGTTTTAAGATCAAGAAGCTGCTCAATTGCAATAGCTACTTGGGTGTACTTGGACGGCACGATGCAGAGTAGTTTCTTCACGACCTTCACCTCCTCGAGAGTCTCGCCGAGGGTGCGAATCTTGTTGGCGAGCTCGTTCATGCGCATGGTGAGGTTGTCGATCGTCTCGCCGCTCCGCATTCGGACGACATCAAACTCCTTGAGTAGAGTCTGTGCCTTGGCCTCATGGACACGCTCATCGCCCACACGCATGGTCTTGATGGCGTCCCATGCCTCCTTTGTTGTTGCCTTCACGGCAAGCGTGGAGAGCATCTCTTGTGGCACGGCTCGCAGAATTGCCGCAAGCGCCACCCTATCATCACTAAAGCTCCCTCCACCCTCGACGGCGTCCCACACGCTTTGGGCCTCCATGTTCACCTTCATGATGAGCGCCCACTCGAAGTCGTTCATCGCCGTCAACGTCGGGTAGACGACGGTGCTGCTGGCCTTGTGGACGATGCGTTGCTGCACCACCACCTCTCAGCCACCTCACCGCGTCGGGCTCCGCCCACGACGTACCGGAGAGCGTGACGGAGTGCGCAAACCTTCACCGGCCATGGCTCTAATACTAAATGTTGGGAATGCCGAGGAGGAAGAATATTGTGTTGGGTATTAATCTAGCTATAAACACTTAGTAAAAGCATATACATGCATTCGTACGTAGTACATAAAGTAATAAATGCATGGCTTTCTTGTTTTTTTGGTGTGCCGCATCTATTGCAGCCCATCACCGGTTTTTCATTAAATAAGCAAACGGAAAAACTGCCAAAGCTACAAAATGGGAGAAAACTAAGTGCTGCACTCTTCCACTAAAGCACTACCAAAATTCCTCATGCTCCGTCCAACTTCTTTTGCTCTTTCTCACAAGTAATCCCACTAGCTAAATTAAACATGCATGCAACTAACTAATTGATCAACCCGTGCAAATTAGACTAACACTAATGCAACGACACATACGCACATCAATGCCGCCACAACACATGCATGGTGCCACGCGACGCACACTACTTGGCATGACTCATCCCGCCGTGCACTAACACTCTAGTCTAAAATGCATCAATGACTCAAAATAAACTAAATTAAACATGATGAAATTATAAACAACAAGGTTAACTCCAACACCCCTTCCCTGGCGCTGCACAACCAGTGCTCCACCCCCCACACCACCTTCGTACCCCACCCCACCCCACCCACTGAAAACAAGTATATCGCACCTCACAAAGACCCTACTGTCTGTAGCCACAGTTGACCGTCGGCGTCTCTTGAGTCGTTGGGTTTGTCGCTGTCAACCCCAATCACTCACAACAGAAAGAGAAGAAGATGAGAATGATGAGATCCACGATGGGGTATTGACTAATGCGTGGCAGTAGGGCGGCGAAGGTGGATGCGTGTGGCGGCGACAGATGTGCTCGACGGTGGCAGGTCTGCTCAAATCTAAGATGGAAATATATGGGGAAGAAGATGTGGAGGGCGGCAGCTTCATCCGGTTCTTCTACGTCACAAGAATGATGGGATGTGTTTGGTGGGATATGTGTGTATTATTGGGATTTAGGGCTACGTGAGTTGTATTTAGATTTAGGGATTAATCATTTAATTTACTCAGTTTTCTGTCCAAAATAAAAACAATTATATTTAAGTCAATGATAACTCTAAGAGTAGTATTAGGGCCATTACAATTATAAAATCCAAATGTTGTTTTCCATTGTGTTTATTTAGTGTCACATATTTAAATATCGTGTATACACCAATGGTTTTTTTTTTTTTGAATAGTAGGGCCCTACACTTGCGGAAAAACATTGCTCCCAGGCTCCAGTGAAAAAAATTCTCCCCACCTTGACCTTAAATCCCGGATCCATCCCTGGACATTACAATGCCATTTGACTGTTTTTTTTTATTGTTTTTGCAGAAACGAACCATGCAGATTTGAATAGCTTAGCCCCTGGCTAGTGAAGAGGGTTTTATACCAACTCCAGTTTCTATTCATTACAAAAACCGACCACTTCATCAGTCAACATGAATTAATATGGAAGAAAGGTTTTACCCAGTCTATTGATGGATAACAAAGGGATGCCGTTGACAGTGATTATAACCATAACGTAAAGGAAAGGGGACGTGTACGACTACAATGACAACATCAAAATAATGCCATACAATATACTCGTCATAGAGCAGATGATGATGAAAAGTAAGTTAATCTGAAGCATCGATCAAGTGATGAAAAAAAGTTGCATCCCACGTGCACAATGAATCCACTCTTCAGCTTTCAAATTCAGTTATTACTATTGACTCATCCTCGGGGACTGAATCAGATCTTGTAAGGACTTCAGGTAATCCACTGCTATCTCTAATAATCTGCACACCCCAAACAGCAAGAGTAATGTGATTACCTTCGAGAAGATAAAGTGTAATTATGGCAATGTATGGATTACTTATACAATAGAATGACAACAGTAATGTTAGATTACAAATGAATGTCGTTTTAGTGTTAGTTGGGATAGTAAGAAATTACGAATGAAATGTTGATCTATTTTTACGAAAATAGAACAATATCAGATATAAGGGTAAAAAAGGAGTATTACTTAAGTAATTTTACATTACCTAAAGAACCAAGGTAACAGACTAGCACAGACACTAACGATTTTTTGTACGTTATGGTAATTAGATCTTTTTTGTACGTTATCTTTGCACAAACATAAACCCAACAAGGTAATCTTTGCCTTGTGCAATAGTCAATCGCCTTTGCATATCTTAAAGCCCACACTATATAACGTAACCTGAGGAGATTAAATGTCTAAACATACAAGGTAGTCTCACAAGACGGGAACCAATTGCCCCCTAAGAAAGTGAGCACATTCAACCAATCCTACCCAAACGGGCCCCAAAAGAAATTTTCTCCACCTGAAGAAAATTTTATTACAACTTTTGACTAAATCATCAAGCAAACTCTTGACTGGGCTAACAAGATGCACCCATGCCAACAATATTTAATTTATTTCGTCCAAACTTTTAATTACACCATATTTTTGTTTTGCTGACAATCATAAGCTCTGCAATCAATATTGGAGCGTCATTAAATAGTTTTATCAGTTAAGAAAGTTGGCTAATTGTTGGTCAGCTATGCAAAATACTGTAGTGGCAAGTGCAATTTAACGACACAGATTTAAGGTATTCAACCCCTTAAACTGCTGCATGAAATCTGCCAAACTGTACAATCACATATCAACAAATTTTATTTCAATTTCATCGCGCTCTTATTCTCTTAAAAGGCCTACCAGAATATCTTCATCAAGATAGGAGATAATAAATAATCTTTGAAAGCTCCCACCTACAATCACAAGAGTACCAACTTGCATTAAATAGTCAAATGTTTAAAAGCTACGCAATCAAGAAACAGCTGTAGCCAGGAAAAAACATCAAACATTAAAGAGAGAAGCCCTTTTAAACTTTTCTTTTTAAAATCTTTGGGGCTTTTTATTAAAGGTGTGAATAGATGAAAACTAAAATGCATACCAGAGTCCAAGGTTATGGATTTGAACCCTAGACCTCCAGGACACAAGGGAAGAAAAGAAAAGATACATATTCAATAGGTATTACCATCTTATCTTTTTCAAAAAATAGGGAGATCGAAACATGAATCTTAAAGATAGTTTGAATATAGTCATTCACCATATGTGACTTGCACTTGGATATCTACCCGCATATAGCCAGCAGTTGACCACATGTAAGTTTTTACATGACAAAAGAGCATTAACTTTATGTTAATTACTGAAAACCTATTGTCAATGCTTCTACCAAGATTAAAGTGTATAGAGATGAGAGAATGCTCACCAAGTGGAATTTTTAACCCACTGGACACTGCGTTTCTAACAGGAACAGGAAGTTGCTGCACACTGCTCATCGCCTGTCCAAAAACACCTCTTAGTACCTGAGGAACAGTTTCTTCATTGACCTTTGGTGACTCAAGTATCCCTTCAACATATTCTTCTTTCATTCTCAGTGGGCCTTCAATAGATAACTTGGCAGAGAGTATAAAATTGCTCTCAATCTGTATTCATCATGAATCATTTCGTTTATTTTGGAATCCTTAAAAACAAATGATAAACTAGAATTTTTGAAATTTTGTTGCAGGCGACTAATTATCAAGTAGAACCTCCATTACACAAACTGATTCGATATTCTTTTCAAAATAGTTCATCTGCCTTTTCACATTAAGATTTCTCCTCAAGGAGATTGCACATTGAAATAGATATCAACAAATGAAACTTGATACATAATAATGAAAGGCAAACTTATGTTTAGAGATTAAGCTATTAGCAGTCTTGTACATCACTTGTTTGTGCAGTAACCTCACGTATCACCACATTGGCTATTTTAGGTTATATATGTATTTGTGATGTACTTATTATCACAAGTTGATAAACTTTCTTACCAAGAGCGTCATTTCTCTTTGTATTCGGTTTTAAAAGCAACAACTGGAAGTGGCTAAACTTGAAAACAAGGATAGTTAGTTAATACTATTATATTTTCTGATGCTAGTTTTGTTTCTGATTCTTGTTCCCTTTCCTATTCAAAACTCTAAGCAGCCTCTCTATATAAAGGGGTTTGTTATGAAATAAAGTACTTTTTGGAGAATTAATTTGTGACTTGACAAGGTCAGGAACCGCTTAATTTAACAATAAGAATAGCTTCGTTTAATTCTACTGATTCTCTTTCTCTGTCCCAATTAATCTCTCTAATGCACCCCTGGACTAGGGCTAGCTCTTGCTTCCTTAACAATTTGGTTTCAGACTTTCAGATATGGTCACGATGGGGTAAATACGGGCGACAAAAGAGGTGCTGAAAGCCTTACTACAAGGTGTAGATCAACGGCAGGTTGACGTAGAAGAACAGCCCACGGATATCAAGAACACCATGATTGACTTGGCAGGAACCCCAGCAGCTTTCACTGAGATGAGTAAAACTGTCATCAACCTGTCAAACACTGTCAACCAGTTGTTGCAGGACCCACCATCATCTAGTCCGCATTCCAGAAGACCACGCCACACAGATCACCACCAACGTGACTTAGATGATGGATGGTTCCACAGGACTCCAAGTTGGAGTTTCCCCAGTACGATGGATCCAGTGATCCGCTAGCTTGGCTGAAGCAGTGCGAGCAATTCTTCATCCAGCAGCACACCCAACCACAGGCACAAGTAGGGTTGACTACTTTTCACATGACTGGTAATGCCCAACTCTGGGCAAACCAGTTGGATCCAGCAGGAGCCAGACTTCCCTGGCAGAGTTCTATATTCACAGGTCAAAACGATTTAGACCACCAAGCAGCCACAACCCGGAGGGTGATCTGGTGAATATAAAGCAAACGTCGGACTTAGAATCTTACATCACCAAGTTTCAGCAGTTGCTTGCCCGAAAGCTGGAGTTTCAATCCACATGCAAATCAAAAATTTTACAGATCGACTTGGAGAGAGAGTATGCATGGAGGTCGAATACAAATTCCTTGCATCTGCGACTCGACAAACAATAGTACATATGGATCAGCTAGGTCCAGAATTCAAATTCCTCAATCCAATCACTCAGTTCTCCTCGACCCAGCACCACTAATGAAAAATTGCAATCCTACGTTTAAAGAATTACCTCGGGCTGAAGCTGCTGCACAACAAGAAAAGGGATTATGTTATAACTGTGATGAAAAGTGAATCCGAGGCCACAAGTGCAAAAGATTATTTTTTGTCGAAGTTGTGGATGACGAACTTGGAGATGCCCCGGAAACCCCAATTGAGCCCTCGTCATTCAACGCAATGGCTGGGTTCGGGTCACATTCCATCATGCAATTGGACACAACCTTATCCAGCCAGTCCTTGACGGTTTTGGTTGATTCAGGAAGTACTCACAATTTTATCCACCAATGTTGGGTCCCCAAGAACACACTTTAGCAGCACCCTGGAGCACGCCTACATGTTTTGGTGGCTAATGGGGACCGGGTACCCATCATTGGTACATGTTCACGACTTCCGTTCACTATTACCAATGATCACTTTCGTGTAGATTTTTATGTATTGCCGTTGTCCGGCTTTTATATGATTTTGGGCATCCAATGGCTTTGCAGGCTTGGCTCCATCCAGTGGTATGGCAGTGTCACGGTACTGACGTTTTAACTGTCTCTCACATGCGATCTGCCAGGACAGAGCTAACCCCTCTCTCAATGAGCTTTGGTAAACTTTGGTTATCTCTTTCACACTCCCTCCATCCTTTCACCCCAGCATGCATGTGATGTCGCCGCATTACTTTACTCCCAGGCACAGGTCTAATAGTGGTTCATCCATACTGCTACCCTTATTTCCAAAAGACGAGATTGAAAAACAGTGTTCGGAAATTTTGTTGTGCGGAATTATTTAACCAAGGCACTCTCCATTCTACTATCCGGTCATCCTCCTACGTAAACCAGACACATCTTGGCGTTTTTGTAATGTTAATTTAAAAAAAATACCAAAAAAAGCAACAATGGTTCCAATTTTACCAATTTCTATGTACTACATTTGCAAGGAGTTTAGGATGTAGTGCAAGATTAGAAGAAACTTTAGGCAATGGAAGTATAATAAAAGGATATAATAGTCAATTCGTATAATATTTGAATGGAATGACTCACTGATAAAGTTCATTCATACTCGAGGCTCAAAAAAGTGCTGCAGAATGTATATAGGAACTGACAACAAACATGTGGCTTCATTGCGAGCAGGTAAAGTGAAATTAAGTACAAGATGCAAAAGATATTAACTACCAAACATGCTCTTAGTTTGATTGGGCAGTTCAGATATTTAACTTTTAGCGAATTTCCCCACTTATCACACATCTACAATTTTATGTTCTGCAGTTCAAGAAAAAATCCTTAGAAATGTTACACAAAAAGAGCTCTAATATCATTGGAGGACAATAAAGATTTAGGGGAAATGGTTATTTTGTCCCGTAGTTATCGTGTAGGTGTTATACTTAGCCCCCAAGTAATTTTAGTGTTTAGAAATTCCCTCCAAGTTGTGACCATAATTGCAGCTTCAGTGCCTAAATCTGGAATAACTCACCAAAATGGCCACCTTATCGTTAAACTAAAACTCGAACCTACAGATACAAAGTTCACACTAATGTATTCTGAGAGAAAAATAGTCATTTTTCCAAATATTGTGTTTGAGTTCTTGAATAGAAAAAGGTAATATTTCTAAAAGCATTACACATGAACTTTCAATCTAAAATCATTAACAAAGGAGTATTAATTACCGAGTTAAGCAATTTCAGGTTAGCAGTAATATTTGTGTAGCTATCTTTGATCAGGACATCCAACCTTGATAAGTTTGCCAATGATGGAGGGAACCTCCTGAAAGAGAATTGAGGTGGCAGCTAATCATCAGTACTAATTGAATAATATAATACCAAATAAAAGTCAATCACTCAAGGGAAACTTTTTTTACATATCAACATTTTCCTTAACATTTGCCTACTCAAAGAACTACCATTGTTACACGGAAATCAGAATAATTGCAAAAAGATAGAAAAATAGGAAAAAAGAAGGCAGCAGAAAAGGACTTACTCAAGCACGACCTTAACAGCAGGGCTTCCAGAACCAAACCACTCGATATTCCATCTACCTTCCAAAATGGGAGACCTGCAAAGAAGGAATACACAAATGAGCATCATCTCATAGTAGAGCTTTTGTACATTTACCTTAAATTGGTCAGAGCAAACACCTTACGTTGTTGGGCGAGGTGTGGGATTGAGTCGCTCGAGTCCAATTATCCTCTCATTTACATCAATCCGCTGCATATCCCTAATTTTTCCTGTTACTAATGCCTCAAATCCTCCAGCATCTTTGAACTGGGATTAGAACTCAATTATTCAGCTTGCAAATTCATTTCCAAGCTTATAATAAGTATAAAAGAAATGCAAGAAGCACGTTGACTACGTTCAAAGAAAATGATATAAATCAGTTCAAACCTGAAACACACACAATGTTAGACTTCCCTAATAAAACTTTGTTCTCGTCTTTTCAATCAACAAATTTACATAGATTGGTGTTATACAAAGGATAGTAAATAACGGGAGGAGGGAGGGAATGAATTACAGCAAGAAGCAAAGACTCCTTAGCAGAAAGCCTTTCCATCTCTTTAGCAAAAGCAGCGGATGCTCCGCCTTGAACAGTCTGCTGAACCATGGCTCTACAAGTTCGTGGGTGTATCTTGGCATTCCGGAGATTGTTTCCTGGGAAAACTCCTGGAGAAGCTAAGAAGGAAGAAGCAGGTGGAAATGACGGAGAATAAAACGAGAACGGAGCGTTCAGATTCATGGAAAAAGCCATGGAAGATAAGAAGCTGAAGCAATACAGATTTTTTTACTCTTTATTGTGGCCACTAAACGTTGGTTAGACCCAAGAATCACACTCTTTTTGAGTTTTTTGCTATGTTGTAAATACCGGACCGGAGAGTGACCCGGCCACATGACTGGGTCACGGGTCAATCCGGACCCTGTGGGTCAACCCGGTCAACGTCGGAAAACCGGTCAATGATTATACATCTATATAATAATAGTAAACATATAATTATATATAAAATTATAATAAAAATTAGATATTATTCATAATAATCAACTAACAATACTACTTATTAAGCATTTAATGCACTCTTATAATATTTCAATGTATATTTTGATCTTATACAAATATATAATGATATTTTTATTTTTATTGTATATCTATATTATAATTTGGCATGATGTTCATTCTTAAATAAATATATAAATATATTACGTAGTTTTTCTTTTTAAGGTATTGAAATTGCAATTTTATTGGTAAAAAAAATGCATTAAAAATAAAAAAGAAATTACTTTTTTTGGTAAAAACACCCAAAAACTGGATTTTACCGGGTTTTTCGGGTTTCTTGGGTCCGGGTCTTGACCGGGTTTTCCCGGGTCAGTCGAGTTTTTCCGATTTTTGACCATTTCCGGGTTTTGAAAAAACCGAACCGGTTTTTTGTCCGGGTCACCGGGTTCCGGGTCAACCTAGCCGGGTCGGGTGAGTTTTTTAAACATAGGTTTTTTGTGGAGTACTGTGATGCTCAAATTTGTGTTGAAGCTTATAAAGTACTCGTATTCAGCTTATAACCATGGAACAAAGAGTATATTAACATACGAGTTATGAAAATACTTTAATTTATTTTCACAATTGAATTATGTTACATTCGTCAAATATAGATGGACAAATTTATGAAAAATTGTTTAATGGTTTGTTAAATTTTAATTTAAACTAGTTGAAAGTTGAAAAAAATTAAAAAATGAGATGATTTTATAAATTAACTGTTTATTTTTAACATGTCTTTAAAATTTATAATATTTCAGTTGAATATATATTTGAATATTGTCGAATTACCAATCGCGAAACATTTGATAAAATTAGTAATTAAACATTCTTAATTCTACAATATTTGAATATATGTTCAACTTAAATATTACAATTATTAAACACATTTTCAAAATAAACATTTAATTTTATTAATCATCTCATGTCTGTTACTTTAATTTCTTTAACAAATCATTTTTCTTAAGTTGTTCAACTATATTTGACGAGCATATCATACTCCCCCGTGAAAATGAGTTGAAGTACTTTCATAGCTTAGTTGCAAGTTAATATATTCTTGGGAAAAGGGTCAAAAAGACTCTTGAACTTACATAAAAAGGTCAAATAAACCCTTACATAGGAGGTTCTGTCCGGCCGTCTCCATTTGGGACGGTTCCCGATGGAATTTTATGATGAAATTTCTCCATTTGGGACGGTTCCCGATGGAATTTTATGATGAAATTTTTTGAGCATCTTATTCATTAGGTCTAGTTTACTCATACCACATTTCAGCTAACAATTCATTCGGGAAGGCATTCAAATGAATTATTGAATATAACTGCGCTTTTAACTGCCAGATGTAGAAGCTGCCAGATGTAGAAGTCCTACAACCCACAACGAGAAAGGTAAAGCAAGAACCTATGGAATAGTTTTACAAATCAATTTAGGTAATGAAGAAAAAATGAAATGTATATTACTAATAGAGTTTTCCGGACACAAATATGACTACTTATGTTTTTGAAAAAAACAATATGACTAGTCACTGTGTACGAGTAACTGGACAAGTGCATTATAGTGTATTTCAGAGTGACAAGTCACTGGTACATGATGAGTCATTGAGAGCTAGTCATTGAATATGTCACTTTTTTTGGAAAATTTTAAAGCAAGACGTATTTCTGTCTTTTGAATTTATTTTAGTAATATATATGGAAAAAGGCTTAGGTACTACGGTTTTCATATTTTTACTCAAAAGAATTCGAACTCCATGACCTTTGAAAGATTGCCTGAATTTTGTTGGCATTAAATTAGGGCTTTATTTTCGACAATCTGATCCAGATTTTGAAACGATTCAATAGTTGATGTGGTGGTAGACCACTAGTGACTAGGGCGTCAAGGGTTCACGGAGGGTCAAGCACCTAGAGTTACTAGGGCAACGGTAGGTGGTGATATGAAGTCGCTAGATACCCGAGCCACTGGGCAAACGTTGATCATTGGGCGGATAGTAAACTGAGGCAATGGTTGATCGGAGAAAAAAGGACTCGGCCAAATTCACTGAATTCATTGGTCACTATCACGGGAGTCACAATGGTTGGATTCGTTGGAGCATTGATCAATGAGACGTTGGTCACTACTCACTGAGGCATTGGGTGAGGATGGCACGAGTGACATTAGTAAGGGTATAATAGTCTCTTTTTTTTATTTTTTTTAAACTAGACCTATTTTTTTTCTTAGGTTTTCTATTAGTATTATGAAATAATTACATACTACCTCCGTCCCAAAAAAAACTTTGCCATTTTCAAAACTTTGACCAGCTATATCTTTTTATTGAAAATGATTTATAATATAAAAGTTATATGAAAATGTTCTTTGGTAAAAGTACATTCATAAAAGTATAAAATTTATAACTTACATAATATTATATTAATCAAAATTAAGGTTCAAATTTTTGGGACGGAAGTAGTATATGATATATATGACTAAAATAAACGTTGTTTATAAAAATGTGACCTCTTAAGTGTAGTGAGTATAATAGTTACATAGTCATAGTATCTTACATTTAATATTTTTTATCCGGTAGACATACCACCAAAATCAGTGGGATAAATGTTGAGGCCCATTTACCATATTTTAATAAAAATGAAAGCATACAAACTATTACGGGGGGGGTCTTACGTTTAATTTACACTTAACTAACTATGAAATTATATTATAGTAACTACTTCATCCGTTTTTTATTCCTGCAATAATGTGATTTTAATACTATTCACATATCTTACTTTGACCATGATTTACTACTAATATACATAATCAAATTATTACATATAAAATGTTATTGAATTCCTATCAATATAAATTTCAAAAATATCAACTTTTTATAATATTTACCAATACATAATTAAATATAAATACAATAAATAAAGTTGTGTGTTGGCAAACGTGAAAGTCAAACTGTTGTAAGAATTAAAGAATGGAGGATAATATTAGTTATATTTTGTAAATTAGTTTCATTATAATATTTTCTTAGATCAACATTGATTGGTTTTATTCATAGCAGGCATATTAATTGTTTTTATTCAATAATTTAGCTTTATAACTCATGATTGAATCTGGAAGGCCTAATCTCGAGAATTCTCCCTAGCGGCTTAGCCGTCGCGTAGGGTTTTGTCTCGCTAAGCTCTAAAGTGAAGTCTAACATCCCATCAAAGAGCATGATCTCAAATGCCTCCACCAACACTGCTACCATTATGGTAAGATCTATCCCCATGACGAATTCCACCCGTTACTCTACCTCCAACAACCTCGGCTCTGATGCCACTGTTGGGGAAAACACGACACCCCAACCTCTTGAAGTTAACTGGGCAGTTTATATGTATGAACTGCCCAGTTAACTTCAAGAAATTATTTGAGTGCCTTCCCGATTGAATTTTTAGCTGAAATTTGGTATGGATAAACTAGACTTGAAAAAGAACATGCTCAAAAAATTTCATCAAAAAATTCTACCGGGAAGTGCCCGAAATTCCCTCGGTCGGACGGCGGTTCCCGTCAGGCCGGCTGGACATGAAAAGTTCTCTAATCTCTATTTATAAGTTAGTGTCAATCTAAATTCTAAATTAAACTTATATTTTAAAATAATCAAATTTATCACATGTCAATCTCATTTAAAGGTTCCCTTCCACTATTCACATGGTCAACTTAAATCATTCTTGATCTTTTATTTTATATATCAAATTTTTATCAAACTTACATTTTGTTTATCAGACTTTGTAGCGGTTTTAATGTAGTTTCTGAATATGTAAATTTTATTCACTAAAAATAATCACGGAGGGAGTAGCATTATATGAACTTGAATGTCCGTGCCTCATTAGTCATTAGGAATATAGGATGATATGATGCCATTCTTTAAGACAACAGGTATATTATCATGTCACGAATTAGGGCTGGACTCGGGCCGGTTCGGGCCCGGTTCGGGCCTGGGCCCGGCCGGGCCTCGGGCCAGGAAAGGGGAGGCCCGAGCCCGAACCGCCGGTGGCCGGTTCCGGTTCCGGGCCAAACCATTATATATTTTTTTTTTGTTCTCCTATTATATCCCCTACCCCTCCCCCTCAACCCCAAACCATCCCAAACCACCTCAAATGGCCCAAAATACCTAATCCAACCTAAAACTTAAAAAAAATTCAAAAAAAAAAAAAATTAAAATCCGGCCCGGACCGGGCCCGAACCGGCCGGGCCGGTTCACCAAAACCAGGGCCCGAGCCCGGACCGCCCAGCACCCGGGCCGGGCCAAACCGAACCGGTGGACCCACCGGGCCACGGGCCGGGCCGGGCCGGGCCAAACAGTGACCGGGCCGGTTCGGTCCCGGGTCGGGCCGCCCGGCCCGAGTCCAGCCCTATCACGAATCATCATACGTCACATAGTACGAATATTGACAAAAAACTTTGAAATGGCACATTAAATGTCAATATGTCATATAACGAGTGTTTCGACCTCAACATATTTAGTTTGCTATTTGTATTTTGAATTAAGTAATGAGTGTTACC